ACAAGATCAAGCATTGACAGAAGAGTATAAGGGATGACTTTTGTCCTCCCCAAGAAGTGTTGAAGCCCTAACTCTCACCTTGTGAATGTGACCTTATTTGGAGATAACACAGGATCCTTGCAGATGAGCAAGTTGAGATTGTTGGAATGAGTCCTAATCCAATGTGACCATGTGGTTAGAAAAGGAGAAATTTAGACATACACAGGGAGAATGTCATGTGAAGATAGAGGCAGAGACTGGGTTGGTGCATGTCCAAGCCAAAGAATGGCAAAGATGGCCAGCAAATCATCAGAAGCTATGAGAAAGAAGCGTGTTTGTAGCCTTCAAAAGGAAACAGCCCTAATGACACTTTGATCTCAGACTGGGGAATAATAAATTTATTTTGTCTAAGCCACCAGTTTGTGATAATTTATTAAAGAAACCCAAGGAAACTAATATTAATGGGGAGAGGGGTCCATATGCACAAAGAATTGAGTGATGACTGATGATGATTGAATGAAATTCTTAGTGCAAAAATGAGTTTGCCAACAACAAGTGCTGGTGAGGATGTGGGGAAAAGGGTACACTTGTTCATTGCTGGTGGGACTGCAAATTGGTGCAACCAATGTGGAAAGCAGTATGGAGATTCCTTGGAAAGCTGGGAATGGAAACACCATTTGACCCAGCTATCCCCCTTCTCGGACTATTCCCTAAAGTCCTTAAAAGAGCGCACTATAGGGATACTGCTACATGGATGTTCATAGCAGCACAATTCACAATAGCTAGACTGTGGAACCAACCTAGATGCCCCTTCAATAGATGAATGGATACAAAAAAATGTGGCATTTATACACAATGGAGTATTACTCAGCACTAAAAAATGACAAAATCATGGCATTTGCAGGGAAATGGATGGCACTAGAGCAGATTATGCTTAGTGAAGCTAGCCAATCCCTAAAAAATAAATGCCAAATGTCATCTTTGATATAAGGAGAGCAACTAAGAACAGAGCAGGGAGGAAGAGCATGAAAAGAAGATTAACATTAAACAAAGATGAGAGGTGGGAGGGAAAGGGAGAGAGAAGGGAAATTGCATGTAAATGGAAGGAAACCCTCATTATTATACAAAATTACATATAAGAAGAGGTGAAGGGAAAGGGGGAAAAAACAAGGGGGAGAAATGAATTATAGTAGATGGGGTAGAGAGAGAAGATGGGAGGGGAGGGGAGGGGAGGTGGGATAGTAGAGGATAGGAAAGGCAGCAGAATACAACAGACAATAGTATGGCAGTATGTAAAAACGTGGATGTGTAACCGATGTGATTCTGCAATCTGTATATGGGGGAAAAATGGGAGTTCATAACCCACTTGAATCAAATGTATGAAATATGATATGTCAAGAGCTTTGTAATGTTTTAAACAACTAATAAAAAAAATGAGTTTGCCAGGATGGGGTCATAGCTCAGTGGTAGAGTGCTTGCTTACATGCATGAGGCACTGGGTTTGATCCTCAGCACCACATAAAAATAAATAAATAAGTAAATAAATAAATAAATAAATAAATAAATGATATTGTGTCCATCTACAACTAATATGTATATATATTATATATATATATGATATATATATCATTATATATATCATATATATAATATATATATATATATATCAACATAGAATTCTAATTAAAATATATATTTTAAATGAGTTTGCCAATCAAAGAAGCAGGAAAAGCTATTCCAAGATTATTCCAAGAAAAAAAATGAGCCTGAAAAGTCTCTGTAAACTTCACTATTGCAAACTTCACATTAGAGTTGGTAGAAATCAAAGGCTCAAAGAAATGATTAACTCTGTTTTGTGTTTTTAAATGGTAATGTTCTAAAAAGATACCAGCAGTGGCAAGATTATTTTTTTAATCTACCAAAATTATTACAATAAAATAAGCAGAGCAACTGGATTGGCAAAAGTTAAAAAATTGTGGACAGTATCTGCAGTTAAACTCTGTGCTGAGAAACTCACTTGGTCACCTGAGAACAAATTAGTGAGAGCTTCTAAGAACCATGTGGTATCAACAACCATGCAGGACAAAGTAGAGGGATAACATTGAGAGGGGAACTACTTAACCTCCAATAAGTACTCACTGGCAAGTATAGTGGGTCAATCTAGGAGGAGCAGGAGAGAGAGGGAGGGTGTTCTCTATGACCCGACGCCAGGATGAGTCCAGAGAGGCTGTAATGCATTGAAGTCCTATTCTATAGGACCAGGTCCTTCAATCTCATTAACTGATGAAGTGAGCCCCCTTCCAAAACAAGGCTCCATATTGAGGAGAATCTGTTGGGAATAGATTCCAAATTGACCAGGACAGTATCAACCACAAGAAATGAAAGATAAGGTCTAAATAAAAAGGAACAGAAAGGGAGGGAACAGTGGCAGCTCATGTCAGAAAGTAACAAGTGATCTTATTTTTTATCACTTCATGAGAACAATAGATGAATATGTGCTTGAGTGATAAAACCAGCCAACTATCCTAAAAATGCATGAAAACGGAATTAACTTTTAAAACAGCAAGAACAAAAAGATCAAAGTTATTGTCATAAGAAGAGAATAAGAAAACTATTAAGGTACCTACAGACAATGAAAACACACACACACACAAAAAGCATTCACAAACCAAATTTAAAAAAAATAAGTAAAAATTTCAAAATGAGCTGAAAGAAATTAAGAAAATCACAGAAGCTATGAAAAAAATGTAAGAATTGGAAAGATTCAAAAAAGAAGTGCATAGAAAAGGTAAGACTTGACAAGAAGGTGGATAGAACTCAACATAGAATTCTAATTTAAAAAAAGGTCAGAGTGAATATTCAACTAAAAGGGATATGGCATGATTCAAATGCTGTAGTTAAAAGATAGATGGAAAAGTGGAAAAGCTTCTAATCAAAAAACATCTTGAGACTACAAGGATCCCAAAGAAACAGACACAGAAAATAAAGAAGATACAACATACATATATAAGTAAGAGTCCTCAAAAATAAACACCAAAAAAAAAAAAAAAACATTAGAAAAAATACTAAACACTCTAATTCAAGAAAACTTACAACTACACATTGAAACTTGAAGCTCTGCATTGAATAGGCAGATCACATCTTTGAGAAAATTGATGCAGAATAGCCTTCATCAAGATACATTCTAGACAGGTGCAGTGGTGCACACTGGAAATCCCAGCAGCTGGGGAGGCTGAGGCAGGAGGATGGAGAGTTCAAGGCCAGCTTCAGCAACTTAGTGAGACCCTGTCTCAAACTATACAAAAAGAAAAAGGCCTGGGCATGTGACTCAGTGGTTAAGCTCCCCTGGTTTCAATCCCTGGTACCAAAACCAAAACAAAATGAAACAAACAAAACATAAAAAAGAAACAGAATATTATTTGGGCAGCCAAGCAGAAGGATCCAACAGCTTATAACAGAAAGAATAGCAGTTTTTCTAGCAAACATTTCTGTGACAATTCTTTGTTAGTAAACAAGGAAATGATAGATTTAAAATGGATAAGTAAATAAATAGTAGAATTTTGCCTTCCAAGGAATTTGCATAAATTTTTTTATCCATTCAGCTGTCCTTCCAGTGGAAAAGTTGTTCTGGCTTTTTGATCTTCTCTTCCTGTCTGTATCCCTCCTGTTGGCATCAGAGAATCTTTGTGCTGGACATGCACAGTTCTTTCACAGACTCCAGAAGTGGACATCTATCTCCAACCAAAAGTGAAGCTTTAGGGTCTGTGTAACCAAAAGAACCTTATCCCCACCTAGAGCAAGTCTGATCATTGTGTAGTGTTACAAATACACAAGAACTCGAGGACCCTAAGTTTCTTGAGGGATCTACCAGAAAGCAAGCTCCTGACAACCAAATACTGTAGAGACATTGACAAAGGGCCTGGAGAAGTATTATTCTGGCCAATACATGCAAAAGTGTGGTGGAGAGAGAATATCACCATTTAGCAACCCTAACTGCAATATCATCAACGGGTGATAACCAAAGAGAAAATCATGATGTGCCTCCTTATGAAAGTAGACATTGTCACTTGCCTAAAATGATCAGACTTGGATCTCATCCAAATTCTAACACTAATTACTCATTTTCAGAAAACATAAAAGACAGGTACATTAACTGCACCATATAATCAACAAAATCAACCCAATAGAAAATATGTAAGAAGAATCTTTTTTAAATGGAAGGGGAATCCATAGGCTTAAGATACATATCAAATAATCACCATGTATAGACCCTGTTTAGACTGCATTTCAAAAAAGCTGCTAAAAATCATGGTAATCGGGAAAATACAAACAGGGAGTATTTATATTAAGAAATTTATATTGAGAAATTATTTTTGTTATTTGTAAGTGTGGTGATGTTGGTTTAAATTTCTAATAAAATACAGATGAAATAATATGATGTGTGGGGTTTGCTCAAAATAATGTTCTATCAGGAAGTAAGTGCAAGATTATATGAAAGAAGATTATCAGTAAATATTTAATCTGGGTGAAAAGTATAGTGGAGTCATTAACTTTGTTTTTATTCCTTTTATATATGTGTGAAATTTTCAGGATTATGAAAGGGATTTTTTTAAGCACTAATATATATATATATTAGTACTTCAGAGTTACATTGTGTCCTAAGAGAAATTTACATCATGGTAACTATTGGGTACTCAGAGAATATGACTAGAAACAATATGTGTAGGTTTTCAAAGTAGCATATCTATTCCATACCTGAGGTCCCATCAAAATTCACCTGACTCTCGTATTGCAATTCAATGGAAGGCCTTTCAAGGGGTTCTGAAATTGTGGTGACTTCTAAAAGTCAGCATTAAAGGATGACGGTACTTGTAACTCTGAGGTTTCATTGTTAAGTCACCATGTTAATTGTTTCATGTGTGTCCTTGCCTATGGTGACTTACAGAAGAGAAAAACAACTCTGGAGTTTGAATTACAAATTGCCACTCATCTCTTTCTTGTTCTCTCTGTTTTCCTTCTAGATATTTCCACACAATATACTTAGGTATTCGCAGCCGACAGAGTGGGGAGAATGACAGATGGAGGTTTTACTGGAAAATGGTGTATGAGTATGCCGATGTGAGTATGCTGCATCTGCTAGCCACCTTTCTGGAGAGTGCTCCACAGCTGGTCCTGCAGCTCTGCATTATCGTCCAGACTCACAGATTACAGGCACTCCAAGGTAAGGGCTTGCAATTTGGTTTCTGAATCTGGGGAAAGATTAACTGGCTACTTTTGTCACAGTCCAAGAAATTGCCCTTAATGCCCTCCGTTGACGCAGCCTGTGGTGTCTGCTGTTTTACATATGATTTGTGAACACTGCATGGTGTTTCACTCACCACCACTTATCATGGCTAACTAATTGGAAGACTGAGATTTTTGCCCTTCAGCTGCCATCTGAGTAGGAAAAAAAAAACATACTTTATGATTTTTTACACTTGGTGAATATGGAGATAGATTCAAGGCTTCTGGTTTTTATGATAGAATAATTTTCCAATGTTTCACAAAGACAGCAATAATTATCACTCTCTAATACATGCATGAGTAATCCCTACCATTTCTCATTTCTTTTTTTTTTTTCCTGAGATTGTTTTTGCTGTGTTGCTCTGGCTGGCCTTGATTTTGCAATTCTCCTGCCTCAGCTTTCCAAACAGATGGGATTACAAAGGGCTATACAGGGCTCTGCCATTTCTTTTTGACATTAAGAAATGGAAAGAAGAGGAATTAAAAGGAAATGATAGGGATTACTCTAATATTAAAATAATCATATACAAGGATGTTTTTAATGTTTAAAATATGTTATTTGCATACTACAAAGTTTTATGAAATATATTTTATCAGATTAAAATTTTTGTGTGATTTATCTCACCAGTAAAGGTGTTCCATTTATAACAGAGCTGCCCTGGTGTTTCCTTAGAACCTGGTGCTCACCTCCATTCTAAAATAATACAGCAGGAATATTAGGCAAACTGGTGGGTTGATAGGTGAATAAATGCGTGTGTAGAAGATGGGTAAGAGGCCATTTTCAGGTAAATGTTTCCTGTTTTTTTTATCAATTCTGTATAAATAGATATTGTTAAGAGGTTAAGGTATTGCGTTATTCTTGTTTTGTTTAAATATCAGCCGAGTTCCCTGGGAGTTCCTCTGTGTACAAACATTGCTACTATGTTCTTGGCCTGGTTGATGTGCAGAATCTCTGCTGTGTGCTTGTAACTCTTATGCAAAGAACATGGTAGTTTTGGCTGAGTGCTTTAATTTGGAAGCAGGGATTGGGATACATAGAAAAGAAAGATAGAAGGAGCCCTGGTAGTCATTTACTCTGTCATTTATTTAGAGATTCCTGGCCCAACCCTTCCAGACTTCTATTCTGGAAGTTAGAGAAGAGGGTTGAAGATATCCATGGGGTGTGCTTCTAAAAAGCAAGTTGGAAGAAACAGAAAGTAAGGAATTTACACAGAAATAGAAGATAAAAGCACAGGGAAGCAAGCAAAGCCATATTAATTGTGGGGCTTTCCAGGGGTGTATAAGTGGTCATGCAGATGTTCTGGCTCTGGTCATCTTACTGCCTCACTCCAGGGCTTGTACAAGCCACTTTATGTCTCTGGGCCCTAGATTTCTCCAAGGTGAAGGTCACATGTTAAACCAGATCATCTTTACACTCTTTGATAGCTCTGTTTCATCTTTGAATCAACTAATGCTTAATAGGTGTATGCTACCAGGTAAATGCTTGAGGGGATATCTGTAAATGAAGATACAAATAGCATCACAAGACCACGTAAAACTGAATTTCCAACAGAAAAGCTAGTGTTCATCTCCAGAACAGCTCGGCGACTCCTTAGTATAGTTGGACAATCAGAAACTCTTTAGAAGAGAAAAATCCAAGATCAAACGTGGAAACTTGCAAGCCACTTCTCCTATGGCCAAAAGTTCCTGAATGCCTCTACTGGTTTTCTAAAAGATTTTAAAAAAATCATTGAGATGTTGTGTCCCCCAAGGTAATGGAGATAGAGAAGGACAGGTAAGAGAGAGTATAAGAAGAGATCACCCTTTTGGTTTAAGAACTTCATATAAAATTTCAGAGGAAAAAAAATACATATGCACACATATATGTGTCTGTGTGGGTGTGTGGGTGTATCTATCTATCTATATATGTGTGTGTGTGTATATATATATATATATATATATCTAATACACATACACATACACACACACACACACACACACACACACATATACCCCCAGCTTATACACTAACCTGAGCATTTACATCAGGCTATGGGCTCATATGCCAGACTTTGACCCTGGCAGTGAGGAACCTTACTTTCCAATTTCAGGATGCTGTAGGGAAAATGTGCCCTGTATCACTCTCAAGGTGGTCAAAAGATACATTAATCCAAAGATCAGTAGGATCCATGCAAGACATTGAGCACACATGAGAAATAAACCCACTAGGTGAATCTTATTGTTGCTGTGTTTTAACAAGGGAGGGGGGTGCTAGAGGTTTGTGTAATGACATCAAAGAGTGCAAATGCATAACCTCAAACAACAACCACAAACCCTCCAGCTAATAAAGACCAGCCCAGCCATCACTATCTGATCCTTTTGCATTGAAAAAAAAAATTTACTATCTTTAGGAAATACGTTCCTGAATGCCCCTCTGCTTATAGATGATCCCACTTACAAATGTACCAGCTTATGAATTAAATTGATGTTGTTTATAAGAACAGAGCTTTTCCTCTCTAGGAAAAGAAAAAAAAATGTGATAAAAGAGCATAGCTTTATATGTGTTTTCATACATCTTTAGTGGTAAGAAATTCCTGGGATTTGAATGTAAAAATACAACTCTATGCTCTAGATTCAAATAATCAATAGGCATGAAATCTGTGATGTATTCGCAAATAGCTCTGAATTAAAATCCCTAAAACATTCTTATTTAGCAGGTAGAAAATGGTCCTTAGTCATTCTGTATGTGACTGTGTTGAAAATTGTTATTTTAGCATAAAAGGAAAATTGCTTCTTTACCCCAATTTCAACCATCTACCACTCTCTAAAGGATACTGTTTCAGAAACAGGAAGAAAATCAAACAAAAAATATGACATATTTTGTCCGGGCATAGTGGCACATGTCTATGATCCCAGCTACTCTAGAGTCTGAAGCCAGAGGATCGCAAGTTCAAGATTAAGCTGGGCAACTTAGCAAGGCCCTATCTCAAAATCTGAAAAATCAAAATAAATTTTTAAAAAAAGAACTGGGGTGTGTGACTCAGTGATAGAGAGAAATGTGGAATTTTTAAAATGAAGGCTAAGAATTGCAGTCTTCTTGTAGAACTTGGTTAACCCTAAAACACTGTTAGCTATGAAAATTCCTTCTCAGCTCTCCATATTTGTCGCATCATTAAGTCAGAGATGCCTGGTTGTGCTGGAGGCTGACAGGCTCAGGGGAGAATTGCTGAAGCATGATTGTCCCTCAGCTCCTACTGGCCCAGGAAGACAGCGTGGCTTCTGCTCTGCGACCAGGAATCAGGGCAGAGCCAAGCCTCAAACCTGAAGGTCCAGTTCTGTTCATTCCACATGTCACATGAGACATGTTGGAGGGCACTAGTTTCTCTTCACTGGATCGGAACTTACCCAGGACCGATGATCTCTGCAGCATAAAAAAACACTCAAGGCAGTCCAGCTGCCCGCATCACTAGGAGAGCACAGCATGGTTCACCCTGTACTTCCAGACTGTCTCTAGTTCACATGTTGTTATGGTGTTCCAATCTCAATCCCACCAGGAGAGAGAGAGAGAGGAAGGAGGCAGGCAGGAAGGGGGAAGACTCTGTTGATAGGTAGAGATAGAAAACAGTGCTCCTACCCTTCTCCATGTGGTGACCTTGGCCTTAGTGTTAAAGATGGTGAGTAAGATGTCGTCCAAGGCCTGTCGATTCTATTTTAAAGGGGCATCGCAGACTCACCCATTTCATTTGTTGAACTTCCCTAGTCAAATCATCTCCATCCTCATTCAGACCCTGGCCAGCCTACTGCTTCCTGTCCACCCTTCCCCTGTTCATTCTGTTCTCCCTATACTGGTCAGAGAGATTGTTTAGACCCTGGTCATTCCTCACACATACTTAACACTTTCAAGGTTGTCCTTAGCACTCACTGAAAATTAAATCAAATCCCTGCACATTTCAAAGCATCTTCCTCATTGAGCATGACCTTGCATCCATACAATCCTCCTCTCCGTTCTGAGAATGTGCCCATTTTTTTCCACCTTATTCCTTTTTCCATATTGTCACATTCTTTCTGGAATATTCCTATCTCCTCTCCAGAAGCCTGAATAATTGGCACTAATCCTTGAGAATGCAGCTTAATTTCTTCAGTAAGGCCTGTCCTGACCACCCGTTCAATTTTTTGTTCCCTCATTAGTATTTCATCATAGGGTTCTGAACTTCAGCCTGTGACCTCAGGCAACATTCTTACGGTGGCTAGCCCTCAATTTTCCCCATCTACTGGGGAATCATCACAGTGTTTAATTCATAAGATTATCAAAATTAAGTGATATGACAAATGCAAAGTTTGTGGGGCAGATCCTTGATATGTAATGCAGGATTTCTTAGCTTTAATGTGCCTAGCATCTATCTGCACAGGATAAATGCAGATTCTAAATGCAGATTGCTAAAATGCAGATTCTGACTAAGTCTTAGTTGGGGACTAAGTAGCTGGTTGGAGCAGGGAAATGACAGGTGAAATTTTTGATGGCATGTGAAAAAGGGAAAAATAACCCAAATCTGAAATCATGAAACTTGAATTAATGCATCTGTGTTAAAAAAAGAAGTACTTTGAAGACAGAATGGCCAGGTCTTTAGACAAACAGGGTCTGGACTAAAAGAAGGCAGAGGTGGGAGTGTATTTGATTGACAGAGAACCTGGTAACAATGAAGACAGGTAGGTCAGGAGGAGCAGCTCACAGGGGAGAGAAATTTGAGACATTTTAGGTCTGAGATGGTGGAGGACAACCAAATTGAAAAGTTCTGAGACTATGGGGGTAAGGGAAGCAGGCATTAGAAAAAGTTACCTTAAGTGCAGAACCTTTGGTTCTATCTAGATGGTGCAAACAAATGTTGAAGGCTCATGGCCAGAGTTACCCCACCTGACTTTTTTGGATGATCCTGAGAAGCTTTAAAATGATAGAAAGGG